TAAAAGGCTGGGGTGCCCGGGAAGAAGCTAGCAGCCCCTTGCTGAGTGGTCTTGTGTCCAAACCAGCCCTAAGAGGGTCTGCTCAACTTGATTGCTGCTTCTGCTCCTCCGCTTGGTGGTCACTGCACCCTCACACCCCATCCATTCAGCCTAATGATGCAATGAGGGAGCACACACACTGGGGAGGCGGCCTTGCAGGAGTCAGCCCTGGGCAGGTCGGGGAGGGACCTTCATTCTCACCCCATCATGCACCACTTACAGAGTGTGCGAGCTCAGCTGCCTACTCCTCTTCCAGAGGGTGGGAGGAGACTGCTTTTTGCTTTGATGAAGATGACCATAGTCATGCATCCAGCTTTCTGGTCTTTCAAGGTTGCCTCCACATCCTTGAGGTCATCACAATGACCAGTGGCATGCTAGCATGTCCATTTCATCAACAGAAAAGTACAGACTCAGAACAATGAAGATACTTAGGCAAGACCCATCAATCAGAAATGAGCAGAGGCAGAACCTACCAAGGCTCCCAAGTACACATTGCTCCCTCTAATAACAGGGAAGTCACTCTGTGAAGTACTTGTCCCCCAAATGTGCCCCCACATGGCCATTTCTCTGGTCTAGCTTAGCTCAACACTGCAGCTTCTTTCCAGCCTCTCTCCCTCTAACTCTAAATCTCCATCCTTTCTCTTTTCCTGCAGTCCAAGCTCTGTAAACAGCAATTTTCACTCTTTCATAACCCATGTGACAGCACTTGTCTTCCAGGACAGCCCCCTCCTACGACAATTTGTCTACATCATCGCACACATTAAGTATTTTAAAGCACGGCTCTATCTGTAGGAGGAAGTACACGCTTAACACAGGTGTAGTATGAGAAAGGAAGCCATTCATCACAGCTACTTTAATTACAGTGAGCGACGCAGTACACACCGGTGTGGGAGTGTGGGTCCTCTTTCATGCCCGCCCCAGGCCTCCCCTGTCTTATCCACCAGCCACCAGCCTGTTCTCTGGATCTACGCATCTGTTTCTGTTTTGTTTTATTCGTTTTTTTTAGATTCCACATATAAGTGAGATCATATAGCATTTGTCTTTCTCTGTCTAACTTATTTCATTTAGCATAATGCCTCAAGGCCCATCCATGTCTTTGCAAATGGCAAGATTTCATTATTTTTTTATTGTATGTGTATGTGTGTGTACACATATGTACAATATACATATACACACAATATATGTGTGTATACTATACACTTGTGTGTATGTATACATACACATATACACACAATATATACATATACTATATATACATACTATAGTATATACAGTATACTTAGCATACACAGCATACTACAGTATATATAGTATATATAGTATGTATAGTATACACATACAGTATATATAGTGTATACACAATATTTTATCTAGTTACAGCACATTTACACATATGGCACATCTTCTTTACATGTCCATCTATGGATGGATACCTAGGTTGCTTCCATATCTTGGCGATTACCAGTGATGCTGCAATGAACATAAGGATGAGTGATCTTCTCAAATTAGTGTTTTTGTTTTCTTTGGGTAAATACCCAGAAGTGGAATTAGTGGAGAGTATGATAGCTCTGATTTTAATTTTTTGAGGAATCTCCATATTATTTTCTATGGTGGCTGCACCAATTCACAATCCCACCAAGAGTGCCCTAGATTTCCAGTTTCTCCACGTCCTCACCAGCACTTGTTGTTTGTTGATTTATTGATAATAGCCTTTCTGACAGGTGTGAGGTGGTACCTAATTGTGATTTTAATTTACATTTCCCTGATGTTTATTTTTTTCAATCAAATTACTCTTTTGGTATTAAGTTGTATGAGTTATTTATATATTTTGGATATTAACCCCTTATCAATGTATCATTTGCAAATACTTTCTCCCATTCAGTAGGTTGTCTTTTTGTTTTGTTGATGGTTTTCTTTGCTGTAAAAAAACCTTTCTGTTTGATGTAGTACTATTTCTTTATTTTTTCTTTTGTTTCCCTTTCTTGAAGAGATATAGCACAAAAGATATTGCTAAGAGCAATGTCAAAGCCTTACTGACTATTTCCTTCTAATAGCTTTATGGTTTGGGGTCAACATTTAAGACTTTAATCAATGTCGAGTTTATTTTTGTACCTGGTGTAAGAAAGTGGGCCAATTTCATTTTTTTTGCATGCATCTGTCCACCTATCTCAACACTAATTATTTAAGACTGTCATTACTCCATTATACAGGGGTGGGCAAAAGTAGATTTACAGTTGTGAGTACACAAAACAGTTTACTCTTGTATTATTAATTAATTTTAAAGATACATGCATATCTTTTTCCAAACAAACAACTACAGACCTATTTTGCCCACCCTGGATAGCCTTGCCTTCTTTGTCATAGATTAACTGATCATATAAATGAGAATTTATTTCTGGGCCCTGGAGTACCATACTGCTTTTATTATTGTAGCTTTGTCATATTGTTTAATATTAGGGATTGTGGTACTTCCCACTTTGTTCTTTCTCAAGTTTCCTTTGGCTGTGTGGGGTCTTTTGTGATGCCATATAAATTTTAGGATTAGTTGTTCTAAGAAGAATGTCATTGGGATTGCACTGAATCTGTATAGTAGTTTTAGGTAGTAAAGACATTTGAACAATATTAATCTTTCCAATCTATAAGCAAGATATACCTTTCCATTGAATTGTATCTTGTTTAATTTCTTTCTTCAGTGTCTTATAGTTTTCAGAATACAAGTCTTTTACCTCCTCAGTTAAATTTATCCCTAGGTATTTTATAATTTTTGATGCAATTGTAAATGGAGTTGTGTACTTAATTTTTTCTTTTGATGATTCATTATGGTGCCTAGAAATACAACAGATTTCTGTACATTAATTCTGCATCCTGCACATTTACGGAAGTCATTTGTTACTGGCTATTAGTTTTTAGTTCTAATAGCTTTTAGTTCTAATTAGTTCTAATTTTTTTTTGGTGGAGTCTTCAGGGTTTTCTGTATAGAGCATTGGTCCTCAACCTTTTTGGCCCCAGGTACCTGTTTCATGGAAGACAATTGTTCCACAGACTGGGGTGGAGGAGAATGGTTTGGGCATGATTCAAGCACATTACATTCAGTCACACCTCCTGCTGTGAGCCCGGTTCCTAACAGGCCCAGATGGGAACACGCCCCTGGCCAGGAGGTTGGGGACCTCTGGTATACAGAACCATGCCATCTACAAATAATGAGAGTTTTACAACTTCCTTTCAAATTTGGATGCCTTTTATGTCTTTTTCTTGACCCATTGCTGAGGCTAAGACTTACACTGGAGTCCCCTTGAGGGTGGGCCACGCACCTGAATAGAGCCCCCGCCCATTCTATGGATGTGGAAGGTGACTTCCACAATGGTGCTCACGGGCCCCTCTGACATTAGGGATTCCCGAAGTCCCTGGTAACTAACCTCCCGGGGCTCTCCAGTCTCCTCCATAAAGCTCCTGTAGTCTCTGTTGCGGAGAAGCAGGTCCGGTGCAGCAGAAACCACCTCCGCGCCAGCTGCACACGCCGAGGACCCTGAGAAACCCCGGAGCCGTGGGGGAAACCCAGGCTGCGCATGCGCACACTTCACGCGCCCACCGCCCGCACTGCCTGCCGGGAGGAGCCGCTCTGGGCCACGAGGCCAAGGCCACGACTGTGTTGACGCGAGGCTGCTCCGCTTGCTCGGGTTGTCCCGAGGCTGAGGGCTCAGGGCCGTGTGGCTGGGATCCTTTGCGGCGACCTTGCAGGTAGGCCAGAGCCCCAACGGCGGTGGCAGTGGCAGAGCAGCGGTGAGCGTGGACACCCTCAGCCCAGACAGTTCCGGGGTCTCCCCCGCGTCTCCTTTCGTGTCTCTCTCGTTTGCTGTCCAAGGCCGGTCATTCTGCACTGGCTGTCTGGCATGAGTAATCGCTGTCTGCAACCCTGCGTGTCTGCTGTCACTCTCGGGCGGGGGCCCGTGCAGAGTCTGCCTGTCCTGGGCCGCCATGTTCCTCCGGGTACTCGTTATTTGTAGCACTGTGAAATATCCCCGTCTCCTTATCTCCCTGTTTTGAACCCCTCTGGTGGCTCTCAGCACTTTGTCTGTGCAGTCGGGGCTGCTGTCCCACCTCATTCCTGCTCTATTCTTCCCACCCCTTGAACACCCTTAGCGCGGTGCCGCACACGGGCGGGAGCGGAATCCAATGCCTTGTACAGCCAGGCCCTCCAACCCATTTACAGTGAATAGAAACATCTGGAGAAATATTTGTGTTGTGGGCAGCCAATGAAAATTGAATATTCAAAGCAGTCTAGACGAGCAAAAGAACAAAGTTACAAGGCCATTGCATAGATCAGGCAACTGGAGCGAGTACTGGGAAGTCTGTAGGGCCGGAAGCCCGTGGGGCTGGGGCAGGGCCTGGAGAGTCAGCCCAGGGTGCCTGGGGGGCATGGCCTCGCTCATCCTTAGGGCAGGACTACCAGCACTGCCCAAGGCAGGAAGGCAACACTCATGCATTATTGCTCACAGCTAGCCTCCCGCCTGGACAGATTAACCAACTGCAAAGTGCAGAGCCAGGCCAAACTACAAACCCCGGGCATCAGGAAAGTCTGTGGATGGCCAAATGATACCAGATGCCAGACTGCATGCCCACACTTATTCCATATGTGAGTCTAAGCTATGACCACTCGGACCCTGTTCTTGCGGATTCCTGGCTGGGATACTTTCGTCCCGAGTTTCTAAGTGGGGGACCGGCGGCACCGAAGTACTATGCACAGGTGGCGGGGGGCGGTGGAACAGCTTGGCAGGCGGGGAGACTGAGGCACACAGCAGAGGGCAGGCTGGGTCGCGGTCAGAGCTCGGGCCCGCTTGGCCCTGGGCCAGCTAGCGTGTCTCGGCCAAGCCTCACCGCCCCAGCCTCCCGCCCGCGGCGTGAACGACCCCTGGGCGCCCGTGGCGGGGAGGGGGCAGCGCTGAGGCCGCGCAGGGACTCACCACGTCCATGATCTGCAGGAGGCTCAGGGAGAAGTAGACGGTGAGCGGCTGCGAGTCGTTGGCCACGGGCCTCTCCAAAGGGTTGTAGTTCTTGACCAGCTCCTTGTAAAGCTTCCTCTGGAACTCGCCTTGCAGGGACACTTCAGGAGAGAAGAACCGGCCGGGCTGCTCTTACGCCAGCGGGGGTGCGCCTTACGCCCCCCTGCCCGCGATCCCAGCCACCCCACCAGCGCAGCTCAGACGAGCGAGACTAGCCCTCCCCGATACCCTCTCGCAACCCCCAAAGCTGGCCCCGGCACGGGGCACACTAAGCCACCCCGGTTGCTCCCAGGAGGAGTGGAGCGTGGGGAGCCCCGCGGCTTTACCGTTCAGGAGCGACGCGGCCAGCGCCAGCCAGACCGAGCGGCGCATGTTGGGTCCCGGAGCTGCCGCGGGCTGGCGCGCCCCGTGTAGCGGATCTCACCAGGCAGCAGTCAGCCGGGCCTGCTCCTGCGCTCGGAGCCGCCTCTCGCGGCTCGGCTCGCGCGCCTTTAAAGAGCTGAGCGCGCCCCCGCCCCGTCCGCCCCCCAGCGTCTCCACGTGACGAGCCCCGCCCCCGGCCCCCACCCGAGCCGGCTGCCTGGGGAACTGCAGCCCGCGGTACAAGTAGGAGGTGCGCCCCGCCTGCCTCCCTCTCTAGGGAGCCCTCCCTTCTCACAGCGCATCAGACCACGCCGGGCGATGCCCGGGGCCGGCTCGGCTGTCCTTTGTTCCCACTCCGCTCCCTGTGGCTCTCAGATAGAAGCTGATCTGGGACAAAGCCCTTGGGAGAAAGGCGGCACTATTCTGGGGTACAGTCCTCTTCCACGCTGGTGGCTGGGTGACAGCGACCAGGAACTGGGCCCCCACGAGTTCGGATGTCTTTCCAACCAGAAGAGACAGACCTGAGAGGGAGCCCCCTCCAACCTCCCACCAGACCCAGATGTTCTTTCAGCGCCGCCAGCCTGGCTCTCAGCCAGGTTCTGGAAGTGCCCGGAGAAGCGGCGAAGTCGGCCAGGGAGGCTGCAGAAGTGCGTGATGGCATCCCGGGTGGATTTCCCCTTCGCGTGCCAGCCTCTTGTAAGGGCGATTCAAAAGATTGAAAAGTTCACTCCCACCCCCTTGCTGGAAGGCGGTGGTGTGATCTAAGCTATTTGTGAGCCCAGGAGAGAGTTAAGCGCCAAGAGGACGCTCAGAGAGGACAAGGGGTGGCGGGGAGGGTCAGGGGCTAAGTCAAGCCCTGGACGTTGAGGAGGAGGAGTGGCTCTGGAAGAGGAAGGGGCAGCCGGCGTCCTGCTCTGATTTGATCGCTGTCAGCAGGTGGCAGCTGAATGCAGCAGGACTCCCTGCTCCCAGCAGGGGACGCTGCCGCTCACCTTCCCTAAGGCCCCCCGAGCCTCTGAACTGCACCCAGGGCTCAGCCCTGCGCCAGTAGAGGCTATGCCCACATTTCTGAACTGCTAAGACATGAGACTCTCGGAGGACACCAAAAACCAGGGAAAGACTCACTAAAACGTGACTGCCCTTGAATTTACCCCAGCAGCAGGGACGGACGACTGAGCCAGTTATTTGATTTGGAAAAACAAAGGAAAGGGACAATCTTGCAAGAAGTGTCTGCTAAACCCACACCTGATAGCAGATGCATGTATAAACAAATAATCATTAAAGGCTCCGATAACTGTGAGAGGATCCTGAAAGAAGGAAGCAAAGATTCAGATAGGAAGAAGGGTTTGTAGAGGAAGTGACAGCTGTTCAGGAGGCATCTGGCCAGGAGAGGGGACACCAGGGCCATGTTAACTGGTGAGCAGACAGGCGTGCCCTTAGCTTCATCTGGCTGCTGAGTTGCACACCATCTGTGGCAGTCTGGATGCACACAGAGCTGGCACACGGTGAAGGAGTGAGTATCGGGCATTGGCTGCTGGCAGAAGGGGACTCAGAGAAGGCACGTAAAACCCAACAACATAGTTGAGGAGGCAAAGGAAACACGGGCTGGAAGATTCTCTGGTGCACCACGTCCCAGGGCCACGTGAGTGCCGCGCTGACTGACCGACGCGTGCCCTGGAAGGGCCTCAAAGCCCCGCCCTCCGTTCTAGAGGGATGTGAGCCCAGAGGGGCCCAGGGAGTCCTATATCTTGAGTATGGCCATTTAGGGTGACGTTCCTGAAAGCATAACTACTTCCTTGCGTCCGTCATACCCCATAATACCAGAAACCTGGAAATAAACCACTTTCCAGGGGGATACCGGGTCAATAGTATTTATTTATGCCCTGTGTTCTGCTTGGTGCCTGGAGGACCTACTAGCACCATCCACTCAGTTTATAATTTAGAGCTGACGTGTGGAAAAAATAAATTCTCCTCTGTGCTGTGCCGGCAAGTAGGCCTGTGAGTCTGACGACATTCACTGCTGTCTACGGGACCCAGTTCCTTCATTTGTAAAGTGAAGAAAGGAGTGGAGGACATTTTGGGACTAAGGCTGACAGGCCCCTCTCTTGCTCCCCTTCCCAACAGAAAGAAACGGTAAATAAAGCAAGAGAAACCAATACACACTGGAGCTTCCTAAAGGCAGGGCCCAGAAAGTCCCCAGGCAGAATAAACAGGGGACTCAGCACCCTCCCCCAACCTGAGATAATAGGATAAAAAAGCTATAAAGTGCGTTTAAAGTGTAAAGCTTTTGGTGATGATGAGTGATGTCAGCTGAGGTCCCAACCTTAAGGAGTCAGGAAAGCTGACACAGACAGCCTTCCTCCTGGGCCGGGGACGGGAATGCAGGGCTCAGCGGGAATTGGCTCGCCCGATTATATATACAGTTATGTGTGTATCTGATCAGTACGGGGTGGGGCAAAAGTAGGTTTCCAGTTGTGAGTATGCAAAACAGGGTTTATTCTTGTATTATTGTTTTATCATTTATGAGTTATTTTCTATATAAACAACTATATACCTACTTTTGTGCCTTGCTGTGTAGGAATATATATATATATATATATATCTTTTTAAAAATGTATTTATTTATTTTTAGAGAGGGGGAAGGGAGGAGAAAGAGAGAGAGAGAAATATCAATGCGTGGTTGCCTGTCACATGCCCCCTACTGGGGACCTGGCCTGCAACCCAGGCATGTGCCCTGACTGGGAATCGAACCAGTGACCCTTTGGTTCGCAGCCCGAGCTCAATCCACTGAGCTACACCAGCCAGGGCCTGTATATATCTTATATAAACAACTTATATGGTTATCTATAGATATAGATATGGATATAGATATAGATGTAGATGTCTCATATTTCTTTCTGGCTGCTAGAACTTGCAAATGTTCAGCTTTAGTAGACTGGCAATTTCTTAACATATTTCTTCTAATTACATTCTCACCACAGCGTATGAGCGATCTGGTCGCTTTGCATACTCACCCACTGCCTCTGATTCAATACCAGACATTCTAGCTAGTAGATAATTTGATCTCATTGTGCCTTTTAATTTGCATTTCTTTGATGACTGAGGAAGTTGGGTAGCTTTTCATATGTTTATTGGTTTGGAACATCCCTTTTTGTGAAGTGGTTTTCCAGAGTTTTTGCCCACTTTTTTTTTCTATTGGATTGTCTGTGTTTTTCTTAGTTATTTGTAGGAATTCATTCTTTGCTCAGGATGGGAGTCTTTCCTCAGACATATATAGTGCAAATATTTTTTTTTACAACTCTGTGGCTTCAGTTTTGTTTTCTTACTGTATCTTTTGAGGAACAGATGTTCTCAATCTTAGTGTAAGTCCAGTGGATCGACGTTTCCAATCACAGTTTGCTTTGTCTGTGTCCTGCTTTGGATTTCTTTGCCTTTCCCAAGGTCATGAAGATGCCAGGTTGCGTTGATTCTAAGAGCTTTAGGCTTTTAACTTGCACATTGAAATTTTTCCCCCACCTGGAATTAGCTTTTGCATATGCTATGAAGTATGGTAGCAACAGAGATGCCTTATTGTATACAGGTATTCGGTTGACCTGGTACCATTTAATGAAAGGGTGACCCTCTCTCTCTCTCTCTGTATTGTCTTGTCACCTGTGTGTGTCAGATGACAGTGCATCTGTGGCTCGGATCTCTTTGCTCCTCCTTGTACCAATACCACATGCCCGTAACTCCTCTGACATCACAATATATCTTTCTACTTGATGATGTGAATTTTTTAAGCCTGCTTTTCTATTTCTTCACGACTGTCTTGGGTATGCTTGACTCTTTTCTTCTTGATAGCATTATGATTCACTTATAATTTGGGAGGGGGGAGAGTCTGTGGAGACTTTTGACTGATTTGGGAAGAATTGATGTCTTCACCACACTGAGATCTCTAGTCTCTGAACATGGTGTTTTCTTCCATTTATCTAGATCTCCTCTAATGTTTCTCCATAATATTTTATCATTTTCAGCATAGATCTTTTGGGAAACTTTCATAAGAAGCATTCATAGACAATTGATGTTTCACGCTACTGCAATGATAGGGGGTGCAGGGAAGTGGACGAGGACAAAGGGGAGGTGAATGGAGACGGAAGGAGACTTGACTTCGGGTGGCGAGCGCCCGGTCGGTGTGCCGATGATGTTTTGTTGACTTGTACACTTGAAACCATTATGGTTTTATTAACCATCACCCCAATGAATTCATTAAAGTTTTTTTCAATTAAAATTTTAAAAAGTTTAGCCCTGGCTGGTGTAGCTCAGTGGATTGAGTGTGGGCCTGTGAAGCAAAGGGTTTCAGGTTCAATTCCCAGTCAGGGTACATGCCTGGGTTGCAGGCCAAGCCCCCAATAGGGGGTGTGTGAGAGGCAACCACACGTTGATGTTTCTCTCCCTCTTTCTCCCTCTCTTCCCTTCTCTCTAAAAATAAATAAATAAATAAATAAATCTTAAAAATGTTAATTAAAAATTTCTGTTTTATCATTGTTGCATGTGTAGAAGTACATTTGATGTTTGCATGTCATTCTTGTACCCAGTGAAATTCTAAACTCACTTATTAATTCCCGTCATTTTTCTATAGATGTTGAAAAATGTACAGTCATAACAGCCGCCACATCAAACATGTTTAAACTTTTCTTTCTGTTGACCTGTTTCACTAGCTAGGACCATCAAATTCAATACTTAATGGAAGTTACAGCTCCTTCCTGATCTCGGGCAGAAGGCCGTCAATAATTCACCAGTGCATTAGTTTTCTGGGACTTCCATAACAAAGTGCCAAGCACTGGCTGGCTGGAAACATGGAAATTTATTGTCTCACAGTTGTGGAGGCAAGAAATCTGAAATAAAGGTGTCAGCCTGTTCCCTCGGAAATTCTGCACAGAATCTTCCCTCATGTCTTCTTGGTTTTGGGTGCTGCTGGTGAGCCCTGGTGCTCCTTGGCCTGTAGCTGTGTCACTCGTCTCTCCCCCATCATTGCCCCTGTGTATCTGTGTCCAAATTTCCCTCTGAAAAAAAATTTAGAGAAAGGAGGAGAGAGAGAGAGAGACATCGATTTGTTGTCCCACT